ACTCCAGAGTGGTGTTCAGCATGGCGGTGAGTAGAAAATGAAGGCTAATCATGTTTTGGGTGTACTATTCCTTTAATGGGATCTTTTCTTTTTTGGGCCCCCCCTCAGTCAAGGGCTCTTAGAATCGTCCTAACTTTGCCCCCCAGGTGGCGCGCCTATCTTCACTTCCAGCTGCTAACCAAATAGGCGGGAATCCCCCACAGCAGAGCGTTCTGGACTTCCAGCACTGCCACCTATTTGTGCTGGAGGTTCAGCGCTCTGCCAGATGATACATGTAGTTCATCAGATCATAATCCTTATGAATTGACTGCACAGATGATGTCTGTAGGTGGACTTGCTCGCTGAAAAACGTGTTAAAACTAAAAAGTAAATAAAGCCAAGCCGCTCTCTTGCTTGAAGCTAAAGAGCAGATAAACTCCCAGAGCGTCCAACATCCAGATTACTGCGTTTACAATTTAACACCCCCAATGCCTTTGGTGTGAATGCAGCTTACGTTTTGTGCAAACTGGCCAAAACCATATCTTCGGTTTTACCTCACTGTTTTGTATTGACAGGTGAGCTGCCTCTGTCCCTGGCTGCCTGCACCAATCAGCCCAAAATGGTTTCATTTCTCATGGACAACAATCACAGGAAAGCTGATCCTACTGACAAAGACTCACAAGGGAACACCGTGTTGCACGCTCTGGTGGTGATAGCAGATGACACAACAGAGAACGTAGAAATGGTTGCAAATATGTATGACCAAATCCTTCTTCAGTACTACAAGAGCAACAAAGTCAACTTGGAATCATTTGAGAACAATGAAGGTCTGACGCCACTGAAATTGGCAGCCAAACTTGGTAAAATTGGGGTAAGGTTTTTCCATTATATACTTTTTAAAAGACAAAAATCCTCAACTTCTAAGATTCAATTCCGTCTAGTTGTTGAGGCACATGTTGAGTCGGGAAGTCATGGACAAAGAGACAAGGGTCCTTTCCAGGAAGTTTACTCGATGGATCTATGGACCTGTTGGGTCGTCACTATATGACATCAGTTCCATTGACACGGATCAAAACAAGTCTGTGCTGGAGATGATCATCTTTGAAAGCGATAACCCGGTTTGTCTATTGTACTACACCATGGACCAAAGCAGCTCTCGAAAGACCAACATTAGAGATCTGAAATGTTTTTCAGAATCGCCCTGAGATGCTGCAGATTGAACCTCTAAAGAGTCTCCTTCAACATAAGTGGACAAAATTTGCTTGGAAGCTGTTCTTGATGAACTTCTTGTCCTATGTCACGTACTTGGCCATTTTCACCTCAGTGGCTTTGTCCACTAAAGATAAACAGGTAACACAGGGGTTTGGGACGCTGATTAAAGTATACCTATTACTGACCAAATCTTCTGTTTTATACACAGCCACCTTTTACCATCACTGATTATTATTGTCAAGCAGTAATCGTCCTTGCAGCTGTGAGATTTCTCTACAAATCGGTAAGACTAATTGAATTTACATAGATGAGGAGAAAATGCAAATTAATAGTTTTTTTTCCTTCTGTACTTCAGATGACACATTTTCATAGGAACCCTCCAAAAATGAGAACTTTATTCATTAATGGCTTCAGTGACATCCTGTTGTGAGTATGAATAAATGTGCTGTATTTTCATGCAGACATTACGCAGCAAATGTGCTGCGTAATGTCCCCAGAACACAGAATCTGTTCAGATGAACTGTTCAAGATAAGATCTCTTTGTTTGCATCTTGAAGTTGTTTTTCCTGAAAAGGGATCACTCGGGATAAACTCTTTAAATAACACTTCATAATTTATTTGTATCAATCATCAGGAGACATGACGACAGATTTTGATAGAAATTGTAATCTTACTCAGATCAGAGAAATTAATCAGAATTAAAGAAGGCAGCTGCATACCTCCTGGCCTCACCTCTCAGGAAGGGGCCACGATTAACAGTTGGAGGCATTTTATATCATATGTTAGCAGAGGATTAGACATCCATGGCTCCAGCCTTATCAAAATATTACACTTTGTTCTTAGCTGAAGGACACTGCTCTCATTCCATTTACCAAATCTTTGCCACATACAGAATGAATAATATAACTGTGTATCGACAGAGGAACTGTCTTAATTTGAAAAACTATTGTGGAAAAAAATCTGTTTTAACATGCAACATGTGGCTAATATTAAGGTGTAATAAACTTGCACATCATCAATGATCATTATCCTAACAGAACCAAGAAAATAAAATGTGTAAATTGCCTAAAGTGCAAACTTATTTTATTTTAAGTTTGGGGCAATTTTTTTAGCTGCTCATTAGTCCGCCTGTCGCACAACTTGGTGTGTGGTAGAGCATGCAACCAGTGTAGGAAGGCATTAGTACTAGCACGCATATGTCGTGGGTTTTAGTGAGATGTTTGCTCCTCGACTTCCAGGGGTGTAGCTAAATGGCGAGGGGAGAAGGTGATAATGACCACAATTAGTTGGCCACCCCTCCCCATAAAGTAATTTGGTGTTCATGCGTATGTAATTTGCCAGCTTTGGAAGAAACAGTTCCCCTCTAAACCATGGGGAGGCAGCAGTTCCCCACTGAAGTGGAAACTCCTATGTAATTTGACCTTTTACTTCCTATATCAACTGTATATTTAATAGAAGATGCATGTATGGATGGATCATTGAAAATGTTCTTGCTTCACTTTATTAATCTTTAAACAATATCAAAAGATGTTAACTAGATATATTTGAAGACTGGTTAGATGGACAATATTTGATGCCCTGTTTTTTTTGTTTTTTTAAGTTTCCTACAGGCAGTCGGTGTGTTGCTGTCCACCGTCTTGTCTTTCTGTGGCTGTCGGGAATATGTCAAAATCCTTGTTCTGTCTCTGGTTGTGGCCTGGGTGAGCATCCTCTATTATGCCATAGGAATCAAGCAGCTGGGAATCTACAATGTCATGATGCAAAGGGTAAGGTTCAGATGAAGACATTTAGTCCAGGTACTGTATTCTACTTAATCATTTCTCTGCAGATTATCCTAGGTGATCTGCTCCATTTCTTATGCATTTACAGCGCTCTGCTGTTTGGATTTTCCTCTGGTAAATGTCTACCCACTATTCAGAATGTATTCCCTGACCACATCCCTTTCAGTCTAACTCAACTTTTTACACCCACAGCCATTGTTGCAATTAGCAGAGACCCATCTGGGACTGTGAAAACAAATGAGACACTTGCACCAGAAAGCAACTTGAAAGCAGATGCAGGATGCAAGATGGAGAATTATGAAGATTTCAGAACCACAATGATAGAACTGTTCAAGTTCACTATTGGAATGGGAGATCTGGAGTTCACCAACACATTTGAGTACATTGAGGTTTTCTACATCCTGCTCATCTGCTACATTGTTCTGACTTACATCTTAATGCTCAACATGCTCATTGCTCTAATGGGCAACACGGTGGAGAGAATCTCGGAACAAAGCGAAACCATCTGGAGCCTGCAGGTGACTAGTTTTTCTGAATGCAGAATTTTTAAAGGTGCAAGAAATTTGTGTGTGAGTGTGGGGTGGGGGCTTAATCCATGTACTTTTAAAATAATTTAAAATATCCCCCCCAAAAAAGTTTAACATTAACCTCTAGGCTTGTAACCATTTTATTCTTAGAGGGCATTTGCCATTCTGGACATGGAGAGGAACTTGCCAAGGTTTCTGAGGAGCAAGATCTATTCTAAAGGACCTGAAATGGTTTTGCTGAATGACCAGGATGTCCATCGTAAATGTATCATGTAAATATAACTGAACGCAAAAACTGGAGTCTGTGGCATTGAGAGTATTTCTGAGATTGTGATTTGTCAATCTTCCTGTGTGTTCACCTATAGTTTATTTATATCACTGATGGATGAGTTAGGTTAATTGCTTTTACCTCTTTTTCAGGTCTGAGTAATGGTTGAATGTTTTAAAGGTAGTCATGTCGTTTACTTCTAACAATTTAGCATGCATTAACATGCCTAAAATGAACAGTAATCTGATTTTCGCAACAACTTCAGTATTGGAGATGGGTTTATGCCTTAAGGGGTTCAAGTCTATCGTTTTTGAAGTGCTTGTAAAGTACACAGCTGATCAGTGAGTTTTCTTTGACTTCAGGGTGAATGAAATAAACTGGACCAAATGGAGGACTTATCTTTGTCTGAAGCTGGAGGAAGACCCTGGAAATGCCAAGTAAGTTTTAATTCCACTGACTTCTGTTGCTGTAATTACTGTTAATAGGTTTTTTTTTGTTGTTTTTTAACAGGGAGATCGAGGTGATCCAGGATCCTGAGGACATCCAGGATCCTGAGGACATCCAGGATCCTGATCCGTGTGTTTCTTTAGGTAGTTAAATGTGCTAGGTTTAAGTTGAAGTGTTTAAAATGTAGTCTCACGGGTTTACCCTTCCATGGCTTAAAAAATCACAATGAAACCACATAAATGTATGCTAAACACAAGATCCCTGTTATGGTTGTATTTGAAATGTTTTTAGTGTTTTGTCACTGTTTGAAAATTGATTAATTCATTAGTTAAGACCTCTAAATTACAATTTTCTTGGTGTTTCAGGGGAGGGAAATTGGTCATTTGTGCTTTCAATACTGTTTAATGTTTAGGGTTGCATGGTTAAGTTCTTTGCTTTTTAAAAGTGTAAAAATGTTTAGCTGCAACATTTTATTGTATGGAGTTAAATGTATGAATAAATTTGATGCCCTCATTCATGTGGATTTCAGAATTTTATTGATCACTTTAGTAGTATGTCAATAAATACAACAAATAGAGTAAGGTTTGTGAAAATTGTGTAAGTTTTACATATCATGTGGGATGAACCCTGTATTTTTGTAAGGATGTTTCTTTGGGTCTACCACTGTCTGCAGTTAAGCCCTCTGCCTAATTGTTGAATAACTTATCAGAGTAGAGACAGTAAATTGGGTGCACCTGGATTAGATGAACATTGTAACATTTTTGCTTTGAATCCAACTAAACGGGAACAATGGACTCTTTGCACATGACGTCATGACTACACTTGTGTGTTTGAAAGGGGGAACCCGGTTTACGGTCCGACATAAACAACAATGGCTCTGTTCTATACCCGCTGTCTACAAGACCTGCATAGATTATCCATTTTGGATGTTGACCATTTAGTCGAAGGCTCATCTAAAACGTTGACGTCAAAACTAGACAAAGGGTTTAAATTGTATGCCTCGTCAATGTCTTAGATGAGCCTTCGACTAAACGGTCAACATCCAAAATGGATAATCTATGCAGGTCTTGTAGACAGTGGGTATAGAACAGAGCCATTGTTTATGGCGGACCGGTTTATGTGACAGCAACAATCATGTACAGTATTTGTTTTAGAACTAAATTCAATTAAGCAAATTATATAACGTGCTCTATACACCTACGTAATGAATGTGTGTTTGGATCAGTGTTTGGATCACTGTTAAAGGTACACTATGCAACCGGTGTTGATTTTCCAGCGAGGCTCCCCCCAGAGGGCGAAAGTAAAAG